ACAGGCGCCAGGCGCCGCGACAGCAGAGCCCTCTCGCGACATCTCCACCAAACACAAAGAGAACAAACAATTTCATAGTTGGTGTTACTTTTTTATGACGAGACGTGAGACGGATAGACGCGACGGGAGCCATGTTTCAGGTGACAGGTAATATTATTCCGCCCTTCTGAGCCGGCTGTTTCTATACGGAGAGGTGACGACATCCTGTAGGCGTGTGGTTTGTTAACTTATGTTTGTGTCGTAAATGGATGCGATGTAGGGTAAATGGTAGGTAGGAACTACATGTCTTCACAAATTGTTTTCCATTTTTTTCTGTGCATTGATTCTCATACTCTTGGTCTTGTTGGCTAGGTTTGTAGCATAAATTTGTACCTATTTTCTATCCCAATTCCACGCATCTGCGTGCTTTATCACAATTTCTATTGCACATTTTCTGGTTATCTGTAGCTTGGTCTCAGGTGATTAAATAGTTGTAGTGAATCTGGCAGGGTTTGTCCAGTGATCGAGGTTAGCTCTTTCTAAGGGACCCACCTGAGTAGGTGTCTATCCCCCCCCCCATAACCTGAGGACTGTAACAGACCCAGTTTCCTTAACGTTGTCTTTTCTAGTTTCTACAATACTGGACAATGGATACAGTCCAAACCTCCAAAAAATCTGAATAAATGACAAGGTTTAGCAGAACTTCGGCAACGTTTTCGATGTCCTACATTTAAAGGGTATTGTTATTGCGCCAGTGAATACAGTCGTGTCGTTCCAGTATTGTGTTGTGTGTTCTCTTCAAGAAATCATAGGCTTAGGATTAGCAATAGGCCGGACACATTGAAAATATTTCATTTAAGGAAAAGAGTGCCTAACTATATAATGCTAAGCAAACTTCAAAATAATTCCCAAACTCGAATATACTGATTATGATCAAAATCGGTCATGTTGGCCAAGTACTGTTACTTGCGGACAGAGGACGAACATGAAAATAATTTGTAGTTAATATTATTTTGTTTTTTCAGCAACGCGCCTAGCAGACGTTTGTGTTTCTGTTATCATGCAGTTCAGTTCAAATCAAGACGACACTTTATAAATTTGCGTTACAATTTCATACTCGTTATTTGTAGTTTTGTATGGGTGTGAAACTTGGTCTCTGACATTGAGGGAAGAACGTAGACTGAGGCCGTTTGAGAACATGGTGCTGAGGAGAATATTTGGGTCGAAGAGGTATGAAATAATTTGGGGGGTAGAAAAAACTGCACAACGAGGATCTTCATAACTTGTACTCTTCACTAAATATTATTAGAATGATAAAGTAAGGAGTATGTGAGTAGTAAGACATGTTGCATTTTTGGGAGAGGAGTGCATGAACGTTATTGATGTGAAAGCCAGAAGGAAAGAGACCACTAGAAGATCAAGACGTAGGGAAGAGAATAATGTACCTCAGAGAAACAAGATTGGGTGTTAGAAACTGAATTCATCTGGCTCAGCACAGGGTCCAGTGGAGGGCTCTTGTGAACACGGTAATGAACCTTTGGGTTCTATAAAATGTTTGGAAATTCATGAGTTGGTGGATGAATGGCGCTTCTCAAGAAGGGCTCTGCTATATTGAGGTAGTTAATTTATTTGTTAATTTTTTATAATATGTCTTCCTTGAAATCATTACATCCTAGTGTAGGAAAGCTTTTGTCGGTGAGAACAGACATGCCTCTCCAGTTTCAGGTCTTTCGATATTCCTTGTTTACAGTCAGCATAAATGGTGGTCCATTTGCAAGGTGAGGATAATTTGTGTCTTCATAAACACTGCAATCAAATCACATAATAAAGAGCTTCGTAAGTTACTCTCATGTAGTACTCATATGTGATGATCAACTCAATGTCAGCAATCGGGGTGCATTATGGGGCAGATAACAGATTTATACAAATTTTCAATCGTCAAACCTGAAATGAAAGGATAACTTGAAAGACCTAGGCATAGATGAGAGAATAACATTGTCACGTATCACAGTGACTAAAGACGGGCTTCGGATTGGTAATTGGATTTATTAACCGCTTCCAAGTCGTAACTGCAATTAATTATTACACTATTGCTGCATTACATAAGTTACAATCACTCCACACTAATCTCTTCAATCTATCTGCACTAGTCTTCGTGGGTTTATAACACGGAAATTGTAACAGTCTGACTCACAGTATTACACATAAATAAAGTCTTCTAATCACACGTTAAGTCCTCACAGGTCGCTTACTAATTCTTCTTCAACTACAAACTTCTCGTGTCTATCTCCTACCGAGAACTGACTTGCTTGCTCGTTTGCTTGCTTCTGCCGCTGCTCCTACTCGTAACTCTTAATTGCCTTGAACGAATTCTATCACTTACTATATAGCCGCGGAACGGACATGGACCTACAGTGAACACATATCACGTGTTTGCTATCCAGCTAGTCCCTTGGTGCGTCGGTCGGATCTACAGAAAATACAGCTTCCTCTATTATTGCGTGTTGGACCATGTGAGGGCGTGGAATTGATTCATTTCGCTCAGGATAGCTTTTATTGATGGGCTTTTGTTATTCCATACAAGGCGAGAATTTTCTTGACTGGCAGAAACTCAATAAAGACTCTGTTGCATTAATTTAATTATTTAATTATGATTTAGACAGTAAGGAGCATCGGACCAACGTATTCCCGAATGATGCAGATTTCGTGAATATGAAAAAACTGAGCGAAACACGAGTATAGAACTCGCTTTAATAGTTTTACTCATTTGGTCTAAATAAATGCGTTAATAAACTTCGAAATCTCATTCTGAAACTAAACAGGCTGTCCTGTTGAAAACTCATATAAATTTCAAGAGTACCTTGAGCAGTCTGAAAGCAAATGGGCCCAACTGGATACATGTAAATAATATTGTCACTTGATATAGTGACTATAGACGGGGGTTTTGGATAGGTAATTGGGTTTATTGGACTCTTAACAAAACTCGTAACTACACATCACAAATCACTGTCACACTCAGACTAGTGTTCTCAGTCCGTTGTGTTTTCACCAGCCGTTGTTCTGTAGCGGCTTCCAACGGCGAACGTTTTCCTTCCTCTGGGTTCCCGAACTATACCCAGTCTCAAGTAGGAGCTTCTAACAGCAGCACTTCATAACAGCTGAACCTAGTAGTCCTCTGACTGCCTGATTGCGTCTAGTCTCCGTTCTGTTACCAAATATGTTTTCCTTCGTAACAGGCAGTTTGGAAAATTTTAGTTACAATTTAGCAGGCTCGTATTATTGACATTAATTCTATTATTGATTGCATGAAATTGTGTATATATGCATGTGTGTGCGTGCGTGTATGTGTACATGTATCAACCTTTCTTGGACTCGTTTAATTAACATTGCTTCTGCTATTAATTTCATATGAGTAATTGTGTTTATCGCCCGTCACGGTAGCCGAACGGTCTAAGGCATGCACTGTCTTCGCTCGCTCAGAAGCCGGGATCGTGGGTTCGAATCCCACTCAGTGCATGGATGTGTGTGTGTGCGTTTTTCTGTGTTTGTCTACAGGTAGAGGCCTTGCGACGAGCTGATCACCCGCCCTAGGAGTCCTACCGAGTGTGTAAGATCTAGAAAAACCGAAATGAACGGAGAAGTTCATGGAGGTAGGACTAGGTCCACTGGGGCTGTAGTGCCAAGAAAAAAAAAATTGTGTTTGTCAGCAATGTTGTTCCCTAAACGGCAGGAGGTCTTTTGTGTTTGTAAACTAGTACACTTAAAGGTGTGAATGGAACAGTTGGAGAGTGCAAGTTAGTTCTGCAACTGGTAATCTGTAAATCATATCAGAAATAAATCAAATATGGTTAGGCAAAACCCCTATTAGCTATGTTTAGACGGTCCTGTAATTTAAATTGTCCGGTTCTTTTTTGCATATGAGATTACCTCGAGACTATAAACATGTTGACTGTCTCTGACTCCAGTCATAGGTCATTTTTGACGGATTATATATTGTGACATGCAGACCTGTTGCTAGGCAACGACCGCCAAATGAGCAACTAGACAAAAGCCGTTGCTAATAACGCCTCCGCGAACAATCGTGTTTCCCCGGAAATAATTGCACTGCAATGGAGGAATAGTGTTTTCTACGCGGTCCATGCCGAGATGTTATAATTATGACACGTTAGGAGTTGAGGTTAGTGGAGAGAGTGAGTTGGTTGCTGAGTTAGTGAGTTAACCGCTGGGGTTCAGTCGCTGTGAACCGTTACTCTTAGAGGCTGGTAACTGAGACTGGCGATAGTTCGGGAACTTAGAGGTAGGGGAAAGCCCGCCGTTGGAAACCGCTACCAAGCAACGGCCAATGAAGTGCGTAACAAACCGAGAAGACCTAGCGTGTCCTGTAGTGATTTGTGAAGCGTGTAGAACAGTGAGAACACAATACTTACGTGTAGTTACTAGTTGTAAGAGTTCAATAAATCCGATTACCAATCAGAACGCCGTCTATAGTCACTCATACAAGTGGCAAAAGTTACGTATATGTGTGTCTGTATATGGGGTTTGAATTGGAAACTCGATTTATTGACCGCTCGTACACACAACTCACAGCTACAGGTAACTGTAAAGCTATTGCTAATCCACGCACTTTACAAATCACTAGAGCACAAGCTAAGTCTTCTCAGTTTGCTTTCACTAGTCGTCTCCTGGTAACGGAACCCAGTAATGAAGATTCTTCGGCTTCTGTGCTCACGTCATTACTGCCCGGCGAATAATCCGGAGCCAGACTCAACTCAGGCGGCCTAGGGTTCTTCTTATATAGCCTCGGGGCGGACCCAACAGAAAACACCGGTTCCTACAGCTTTTCTATTGTTCTTATGGGTGGTTGCCTATCGATAGCCCGGTTATTGTTGCCACGTTTACCGGTCGTTAACTGGCAACGGTACTACACGCTACAATTTTAAAACTCCGTTGAGTTTTGACGAACAAATTCGGTGGAACCACTGTATGGAACTAACCTTTTTTCCAATAATTTATTTTTCCAGATCTGGGAACGCCTTTCTTTCCGGGAGCTCCTGAGCTGTGGCACCACCCTCTGGCCTATTCAGCGGCGGCGGCAGCGGCGGCTGAGTTGCCGGGGGCGGCGCTCCAACATGCCACCCTGGTTCATCCCGCGCTGCACCCCCAGGTCCCCGTACGTTCCTATCTTTGACTATCTGCAGACAAACCTACCCCCGCGGAAACGCAGCTGCACCAGGTAGCAACTGGCAGCCACCACAATGTTAGTTCTTATAGTCTACTTATAGTCTAGTTCACAACGCCGCCGTAAGAGTGAACGTCATCACCATACCCTTAATTGCAAACGTCTTAATAATTTCTTATCAGATAAAAATAAGTTTTCGGACAAGTAATCCAGTTAGATGCAGAATTTGCAAAACTGGCTTCAGTGAAGCCCAGAATACATTAAAATAATAATACAGAATGTTCGAGGTAGAATGGCCACATGTCAGAATGTCTTATTATGAAAATTAATGCAGTTGCGAGACTGCGGTTTTCACTGTTTGAAAGAGAAACGTTTATATTTGTCAGATTTTCTGGTGTTGTTGGACTTTGTGCATCGTCCGGTATTCGAAAAACTAGAAAACATATCTTTTCGGAAACTTATAGCATGATATTGAAAATTCTTCCTTTTGCATTATGTACAAATCCCCTGACAATACAGGCTTTTCAGATATAGACATGATCTGCTCTGTAAAGCCTGTACTGACAGAGGACTTGTGTGTAGTGCAAAAGGAAGAATTTTCAGTAACGAGCTATGTGTGTGCTTGATAAAAGACAAGCCCATCCTCTCGTCAGAGAGGATGTTACGTAAGGACTATGATCACAAGGGCTCAGTAAAAAAAAAATCTCTGGTCGTGAGTCTCAAGGGGCTTAACGCCAATATGAAATTATTGGCTGTAAACAGCCAATCGAAGTACACGTAGCAACTTTCTCTGACTCTGATTTTCTATCTGTTTGCGTCCTCGGGTGAGAGGGAAGACACTTACTCCTTTGGGTCCTCTAGAGTCTAGAAAGCTCTAACCTCATTCCCTCGATGATGAACAAAACAAAAAAACAATTTTGAGTGTTATACGCCATCGTCAAAAACCTTTAGAATGTACTTCTGAAAATTGTATTCATGCTTCATGTTTTACTGAGTGGGAATAGATGTTCGCATGTTCCAAACACATTTAAGAAGTCTGTCAGAAATTGCTTTAAGAATGGCCTGAGGCCAAAATAAGGCTGCATACATTTTGTTGATATCAGACAAAAAATCGTTGCGAGTGTTCACAAGAAATCCCTCCTCAAAAAACAGTTCGATGGGTGGAATATTTCGAAGCAACCAACAGCGTAAAGGAATAGGAGAGCTGCTGGTCACTGTGCCAAGTGAGATCTGTAAGGCAGGCTTTAGTTTGGGCCTCAGAAATTTTGTGTAAAGAGCAAACCGAGAGCTCAGCATTCCTTGATCCAAGCTGCTCGGGTTTTTGAGATTTCATGCAATGAAAATGCAATATTTACAGCAACTCTTAGAGGGACATTACGTAGCACCTCAAGATTTTGCTTGCCTCATGTCACACGTGGACGAGGACAACAATTGGCTCAAGTGCATTGTCTTCTCTCATGTTGCAACACGGACGGATACAATGTCTGTATGTGTGAGGTTTTCAAAATCCTCGTGCACTGACCATGAATATCCTCGACCAGAAATACATAAATGTTTGGTGTGCCCAAGCACTCGACTAGGTCATTGGAACTTTTCTTGATTATCGAAGACACCATCACCAAGACTTGTTACACCCATTACCTGGAGCTGCCCGCAGCTCCACAGATCAAAATTTTGAGTCCAATAATCATACTTCGACTAGTGGGTAAAACTTTCCTGTAAGGCATGTACTTGAAGATATCCAGATTTAACCCCCTATTGAGCGACCTCCGTAGTCTAGAGGTAACGTTCCCACTTCATGACTCGTAGTACTCGGGTTCAAATACCCGGCGGAGGTCGTCGAATTTTTAAGGGCGGAAAAATTCAGGGAACAAGTCATCCGGGAAGGACTTTAAGCCGTGGGTCCCGTGTCGTAGATTTACGGCACGTAAAAGAACATCATATCTCCAAAGGAGGTCACTGAGCCAAATTAACGGACGTTTCCCGCCCAACAGCAGCTTCTAATACCTCTGGTAGATGGGGGAAGCATTATAGATACCTCTCAGCTAGTAGAGCCGGTCTCGCTGGCTGGGCGGGACTGATGGTAAGCACCAGTACCGGTAAGGATATAGAGACTGGTAGAAATCATAGAGGGAAGCACAATGGACCAATACAGGTCTAAGTGCATGGGGTAACCCACCCTCTCTAATAACTAACTAACTAACCCCCAATGGAGGTTTTCCTGTGAGGGATACAGAAAAGAGCGGACCAGATCACACCTATACAAGATATTTAGTACTGTCACATGCATGAGGGACTACAGACAGATTTGGATTGGTGACTCGATGTTTTGACGAATCGTGACTACACTTTACAGATCACTGACACACACAGACTAATGTCCTCAGTCTATTACAGTCTCCATTAGCCGTTTCCCGACTATGGATTTTAACACAGAACTATAAGAGTCTCACTAAATTATACACTTCAAATATCACACATAAATTCTGCTCTTCACAGACTGTCAAGTCAGCACTCCTGAAACTAAGTAGTTGCCCCAAATCGCCTCGGTTATAATATCTCGGCACGGACAACATAGAAAACACCGTTCCTCTGTTGCTGTCCCGTTTTTGCGTTCGTGTCTTTTGCTGTTGCAGCGTTGTTGCTGCTGGAACGTGTTTACCGAGCTGTTGCCTAGAAAAACACTCTGGTATGTTCGCCAGGTAGCTGCATAGCAACGGCTGTTCAAGCTACAGTATCATATAGTCAGAGTAACCGCAGAAATCCCACCACAGATGTGTGACGGTGCTTTCTGAGCGTTTGAATATTTAATGAAAATTGAGCTGGCAACGAGAAGGTCGTAGGTTGATTTCTACTGAGATGAAAAGAACTACCAGTGTGTCTCTCTCTCTTACGGTGAAATTCGCTTTATTGTAGCTAATAATTGGCTTCACAGTAACTTTCTTTAAAAAGCGCAGCCATTCTTCCTTGGACACCCTAAATTTCAGTTTCTACCTCACAGAAAACACATTCCATCTCCGACAGTCAAGTCAGTTAAAGTTGTTTAGGGAAATAAGCGTTTTTATTCTTAAAATCATTCGAAGCCTGTAAATATACTCTGAGAAACATTTAGATTGTTATTGGCAGTATATCAGGTGGTACAAATATTTTATTTTAAAATGTTAGCTTTATTCCCAGTCGGAAAGAGTATGTCATACGTCACTTATGCACGATGACACAGAAATAAATTGGCTATCCCGTGATAATTACACGTTAATTTTCATTGTAACTGTGTGGATGATGTCAGTTAATATGGATTCGTTGTTTTAAACCTTTTGCGATAAAACAAATTTTGTGGCATCAACATGAATATTTCTGTAATGCAAGCAAATTACAACATATCATTAAATAATTATTTTTAAGTAATGCACTCCGTATTTATTAAATCCGAAATAATTACCCACGTATATTTAAGTTTCATCCGCAAAACATACAAAAATCAGATCGATTTTAGGTGTTTCAGAGACGTGAACTTGAAAGTAAAATAAACGATTTTCGAATTATAGGTTATCTTCAATACAGTGACATTTATTTAGGGTGCAATAAAATGTCACTCACGCAATGGTTCTTAAGAACTGAAACATAAATTGGAGTTAACTTTCAGCATAATCAGTGTCCCTCAAGTCTGTAGCTCGCACCATCCACCCCATGGGTGCCTGACTTCAAGGACACGTGGAAAGCAACAACGCTACTGGCGACTGCGCTGTGAACTAACCCGTTTTGTTGCTTTCACTTTACAAATTACACATTTAATTCTTTAAATTGATTCATTTCCTCTCGTGGTTGTCATCCGTGTTAAACTTTGAAGCACTAAGAACATGTTCTCATTTTTGACACTTTAATAATTCAGTTCATTTTTTAAAGTGCTTGACAACAACAATGGAGCTAATTACAGGCAATCACCATAAGAACACCCATGAAATTAAACAGACATTAATAAAAGAGAACATGATGATGGAAGAGAACAGAAACATTCTGCATATGCAGACAGTATTAAATAGTAAATACATTATTAATATATGCAATAATGTAAGAATATAATGTATTTTATTTCAAAATACCCATATATCTGCAGAAAGCATTACCTGCATAAACACATGTATCTGAATTTCTGTTGTTATGATGAACCCTATTTAGTACATATAAAATAATGTTATCAAAGAGAGATGAAGAACTAAGTTTTAAAGATACTGGTACGAAACATAGCATCGTGGTATCGTCATTTGGACTACTGAATTGTTGCTATGTGCAGCCCAACCAAAATGTACCAATTTTTATTCATTAGCATACGTGCCAAGGAATATTTGCTATAGCCAAGTTCCAAGCAACATAAATATACTCTAGAGAAAATCCTTATTGTGCCGTTATTAATAAAACAACATAATCAACATGTGGCCGGTCACGGTAGCCGAGCGGTCTAAGGCATGTACTGTTTTCGCAAGTTTGTAAACCGGGATCGTGGGTTCGAATCCCACTCAGGGCATGGATGTTTAGTTTGTGTGTGTGCGTTTTTCTGTGTTTGTGTACAGGTAGAGGCCTTGCGACGAGCTGATCACCCGCCCAAGGAGTCCTACCGAATATGTAAGATCTAGAAAAACCGAAGTGAACGGAGAAGTTCATGGAGGTAGGCCTAGGCCCACTGGGGCTGTAGTGCCAAGGGGAAAAAATCAACATGCGAAATAGAAAACTCAATATAATGACTTGAGTATAACAGTTTTAAACCATAAGCGTAATGAAATGGCCATGGGTGGGGAAGAAAGGCTTACAGCCCAACAAAATTTCCGAGAATTTTAACTCATCAGGAAAGCACAATTAAATTACTACTTAATTAGTAGTTATGGTTCATACTGATAGTTTTACAGACGATAGATAACAGTTTTGGTTTTAAAGGTATACAGTTTCATAACATTAGCCAAACACCACTTCTTACTTACAGTACCTATCACACTGCA